TTAATCTATATGCCCACATCACCCCCACTACCTACCCTACCAACTTTATTTTAAATATAACATCATATCCAAACCCAGACCCTAATCCATTTCATATCTCCTCCCTCTCTCACCCGCTGCCACCACTGCCTATCGCCGCCGCCCCTTCTCCCTCCCCATCCATCCCGTCTCCTCCCTTTCTTCCCCCCAGATCTGCTGCGCGACGCAGCAGCGCTGCTATACGACACAGTAGAGGTGTCACTGATGTGTCGCAACAGCGTCGCTGCTGTGCTGTGCGACACAGCAGCGTCGGCGTTTCGGGTGGGTGGCAGATCTGTGTGTAGGTGGCGGATCTATGTGTATGGGTGAGCGGTGGTATGTTTTGGGCGGTGGTTGATTTTTTTTTTTTGTCTTTGACCTAGTTATTGAACCGTGGTGGCGGATCTATGTGCGTGAGTGAGCGGTGGTGGTGGATCTGTGGGCGGTGGTTGTTCTGTTTTTTTGTGTGTTTGTGACCTAGTTATTGAACCGTGGTGACTTTTGTTTGGTCTGTGACCTAGCTTTTTTGGTGTATGTGACCTAGATATTGAACTGTGGTAGTTTTTTTTAAGTATGTGACCTAGCTATTGAATTGTGGCGATTTTTTAGTGTCTGTAAGCAAGCTATTGAACTATGGTGGTTTTTTTATGTCTGTGGCCTAACAATTAAACTGTGATGGTTTTTTTGGGTGTCTGTGACCAAGCTATTGAACTGTGGTGGGTTTTTTGGTGTCTGTGACCTAACTATTGAATTGTAATGATTTTTTTAGTGTCTGTGACCTAGCTATTGAACTGTTGTGAGTTTTTTTTTTTGTTTCTGTAACCTATCTATTGAACCGTGACTTCAAAATTGATAATTTGTAACTGAAAAGGAATATGTGACCTACATATTTGAAAATACATGACCAACCAATAAAATAATTTGTGACCAACAAATTTTATTAACTGTGACTAATTAAAAATCTGTGACATATAAAATTTTTCATTTGTGACTTCAAAATAATCCGTGGCCGAATAATTTGATAAGTTGTGACCAAAATTAAATTTTTAACTACTTAATATGGTATCTGTGACCTCGGAATCGGAGCAACGATCACCGGAAAATAGTCGTCGGAATTAAGCGTGGCTGGAGAACAGTCGCCGGTCGCAGAAGTAGTCTCCAGAGCGGTGGTGGGGTGGGGTGGGTTAATCATATTATATTATATCATAGTTAAATATTTAATTTAATAGATTAATTGTAAAATATAATTAATTAATTAATGAAAAAACCAGAGTTTTTTAATTTCAAACTTTGGAGCCTGATTTTTGATT